GGAGGTTTTTTTTTTTTAATAAAAGATTTATTTATTGTTTCTACTTGGCTTCTTATCTGGCCTCGTAGACCCATGGAACACATAATTATCAATATTCATGTCATGTTTAAACATATTCAAGCTCTGGGGAAGCACGAGAGTGAGAGAGAGGATGGTGAAAAAGAGAGAGGATTTTGGGGAAGTAGAGAGAGAGGGGTTGGGGAGATTTAGGGAGATTGAAACAAGCGAGGAGAGAGAGAGTAAGAAAAAAATGTCTTTTTAAATTTGTTTGGGTTAAAAATTGGAATAAAAATAGATAAAGTTATTTGGGAGGTTAGAAGATAGATTTTGAAATTTTGGGTTTAGGAAAAAATGAAAGTTGAAAAGTTGAAAATAGGATATATATATATACATTGTTTTTTTTTTCTTTTCTAAATCCAGCTAGAACACTTATATAAGTCCAACGATTATAATAAGAACTCAAATAAACAAATAAAACCACAAATATGGTGTCTCACTTGCTGTCACTTTTAAAACTCTTCATTACATAATAAAAAATTACATCAACTTGAGTTTAGGAAGATGAAACATAAAAATGAAATAAAATGAATAAGATGCCAAACGATTACCTCAATTGGACTTTGAACACCCTATACCAAGTCTCCTCTACATATGGCATACGGGATCTAGATCTTTCTTGAATCTCACAAACTTGTGATGCTCTAGCCAAAATCTTTCAATGGATATGAGAGCATGTGGAACAAAATAGGGTTTTACTCTTGTTTTTGTATGTGTGGGGCATGCCCCCTCCATGCCTCTTCCAAAGGCTAGGGGCGTGCCCCTTTGTTACTCTTAAAGAAGATATGACAGGTGGAGAGAGAAAAATAGAGACAGATACGAGAGAGGGTGTTGTGCCACCTTGAGGAGAGAGAGAAAGAGAGTTCTAGATTTTGGTAGTGAGATGATCCCCTAATGAGAGATTTTTATAGATTTGAGGTTAGGGTTAGCGTTAGCGTTTCTAGGGTTTAGTCATCCCTTATGGAGATTCCATTTACACTATTGATCATAGGTGACCCACAGGATGAAAGATATTAGCCATACAATCTCTACATAAACCATTATGATCTAATGGAAGGTGCTAGAACCATATCCCAGATCAACCATCATGACTTAATGGAAGGTACTATAACCTTATCCCTTAGCTTCCTTAACCTAATCCCATCAAATATTTAGTGTAGAAAAAATACATTGTAGTTTCTTTTTATTTTCAATCAAACTTTATCTACACATGCTTTTTTCAAAATCTTTAGCCTTTGCTTTCGAAACTTTTCTTTTCCTCTTCTCAGTTGCATGGCTTATGAGACAAACCAAAATAAATAGAAAGAGAGGGAAAATTTTGGGGCATGCCACTCCATGGGTACAATGGGCACTATACCCTCATCAAATGCGGTGGGCCCATAAACTATAATGGGCCCCATCATATTTAAATATTTTATATGTATAAAAATGATTTTTATAAAAGATTAAATAATTTATTTTCTTCTTTGAATATTTAAATACTAGAGAATTCAGTGTTGGCTTATGTTAAAATCAATTTTAGTGAAATAAATTATCCAAAGACTTCTAAACCTTTGTTTTAAATTTCTAAAAAATATTTATAATAAAAATATTAATTTTTAAATTAATTTTATGGGAATTGGATACAACTTCGTTAAGAAAATATAAAAATATTGAGGCGCTCCATCTATACAAGTGCCTATGTCCCACACTCACTTTCTCAAACTGACACAGTAATTCCTATAACTTATAGTCTATCACAGGGGTTCTTGATTGGACTAGCAAAGTCAGGTAATAGATGATGAGAACACAACCTTAGTCTATGGACTATAGATTTCCCCCCATTGACAAGCCTAGGTCACAAAAACCTGCGAACACACATCACAATTGGTGCATATGGCCTAGCCCTCGCACATGTACATGCAACACCCTCAATGGTGCTCACTTCCCAATATAGCTACCATATGTATATACCGTGTGATGGGCATAATGACGATCTGACCCTTGTCCCTTCAGGTCTATCAATCACATACAAGGATCACAGAGCCCCATGTCTCTCCGACCTCATCAAGGGATAAACCTGCTAACCCTTCTTGGTTGTGCTATATGCCCAGGTATCATAGGGTTTTAGAATTCAACTCGACTTAACTTGTCTAGCTTGGTATTAGTCTTGGCATCAATATTGTCAACTTCGGTCCCTCTGGACCATACTCTCACTGGAATTTGTTATTCCAAGATCATAAAATTCATTACATGCTCTAGTAAGGTCTTTAAATGGCTATAAAAACCCAACAGGTTGGGGTCGGTGAAAGCTTATGAGTCTGAAAATTGTATTAGTTTCTAATTGGCAAAAGATAGTTACGCTTTTCTAATATTGAGATTGTTACCACTTCACCTTTTAAAACTTATTACATTATGATATATGGGGTCCTACTCCTATCCCATCAATTAGTGGTGCATTGCTAATTGGCAAAAGATAGTGCATTACCCTTTTCTAATAGTGAGATTGTTACCGCTTCATCTTTTGAACTTATATATTCTGATATAGAGGTATTGTCTCTTTCCCATCAATTAGTGGTGCTCGCCACTATATTTGTTTTGTTGATGATTTTTCTCGATATACTTGGATTTATCTATTACACACTATATCTGACTTTTCTCAATTTTGTGATGAATTCTCCACCATGATCAAAACTCAATTTTCAAAAAGTATTAAAATATTTAGTTCTGACTTTGGTGGGGAATAATTATCAAACAATTTCAAAAATCTCATAAAATCCCAAGGAACCTTGGCTTAGTGATCATGCCCCAATACACCTTAGCAAAATGGTGTTGCTGAATGAAAATATCACCACATTATTGAAACAACTCGAACTCTTATTCTATCCTATGTTGTCCCAAAAGAGTCTTCTATCCTCTTTCGTCTCAAAAGAGTTTTAGTGAGAGGCGGTTTGGACCTCGACATGCATCATTAATAAGATTCCATTTTCAGTTTTGGGTGGCATATCTCCTAATGAGTAGTTATACTTGACTCCTCCTGATTATTCTCATATTTGTATCTTTGGCTCAACATGTTTTATTTTTCTCCCAAAAGTTGAACAAAATAAGTTGTCCAAAGAATCAGCTATTTGTATCTTTTTGGATTGTGGTCTTTAACAAAAAGGTTTTCGATGCTCTAATCATGTTTCACAAAAGCTTCGTATTTCGCATCATTAACCTTTTGAGAACAAATTCCTTTTTACTCTTTTTCTCAGTTTTGTCCAACATCATTTGACCCACCTCATTTAATTGATCCTTTTGATGAATCTTCAAAGACTGCTGCTAATATTGAAACCCCTGATTTACCTCCTGATGCTCAAAGAAGTTTCTCTCTGTCTACCCATCCTACACCAAATGCACCTAGTCTTGACGATGCTACTCCTAAAAGTGATCATCTCCTACCCATGAGAGAAGTTATCTTGAGCATACGTGCTTTGCACCTAAACATTTTAAGGACTGCCACTTCTTAGCATCAGTTCTTGGCCTTCATGAGCACCAGTCTTATAGTGAAGCTATTTCAGACCCCAAATGGAAGCAAGCTATGGAAGAACATCTTGATGCCTTACAAAAAACTAATACTTAGGAACTTATTGATCTTCCTCCTGGTAAATCTGTAGTTGGATGCAAGTGGATCCACAAAATAAAAACCCACTCTAATGGGTTAGTAGCCTCAACTATTTAACAATTACTCAACCAGATATATGTCATGTTGCCCACTTTGTCAGCCGATTTGCATTAGCACCTCGCTTTGTTCACTACGTTGTAGTTCTTTGGATTATTTGATATCTTTGTGGTACTCTTTTTCAGAGACTTCTTTTTTTTTATTTCTCTTCTCGAAATACGTGCTTATTATGATGCTAATTGGCGAGGGATGTTATGGATTGTCATTTCGCCATAGGATTTTGTGTTTTTCTTGGAGACTTCTTGATTTCCTGGAAAAGGAAGAAACAAAAAGTGGTTGCTTGCTCAAGCGCTGAAGCTGGATGTTGAGCACTTGCTCACACCACTTCAAAAATTATTTGGATACAACGGTTACTTCAAGATGGGTATCTCACACTTCGGTCCCTCTTCTCTTTTTTGTGATAATAAAAGTGCTATTCAAATAGAAAACAATGATGTATTTATTGAGTGGATAAAAGCCTATTGAAATTTATTACCATTTTGTTCATCATCATGTTTTAGCTAGGACTATTCAGCTCCCTTTTGTTCCTTATGAGCATCAAGTTGCGGATCTACTTATAAAGACTCATCCAACTATGTGGTTTCACTATTTATTGTCCAAACTCTAGTTGCTCTTTTTTAAGGCACCTTGAGTTTGAAGGGGATTGTTGAAATAGAATGTTTATAATGTTACTGCGGTATATAAAAACTAATAGGTGGCTTGTCAATTTATGTAAATCTTATGTGAAGGTGAGGTGTAGCACGATTTGGGAAGGTGGCTTAGTCTTGTTGTGCAAGACTTCTTATTGTATATAATGACGAGAATTATTAACAAATCATACATATTTTGTGTCTACATATTTGAGTTTTCTAACAAAGAGAAGGGGGAGGGGGGGGGGAAGGGGAGATGAAAAAATTCAGTGAGATAGTGGGAGGGAAATGGGGTTGAATTGGGGCTTTTAAGCCCCAACTAATCCAAGGGGATTCGAATCATAAAAGTTCAAACTATAATATATATATTATATATGGGAAAAGCTAATGTTAGCCGGCTCGCGCATCCCGTTCTCAAACACCGACGGTCTGGATCATTACGTAGTTGATGGACAGTCTTCGAAAAATTGCTTTAACGCCGCCTACAACCATTCAGGTGAATTCAAAAAATTAATTTTTTAATGTATACTCTGACGCACTTAACGCCTCGTAAGTGCTGACTTAAAAAGCTTTTAACTCTCTCTCTTCTCAACGTCCCCTCTCTTCTTCTTCACTCTCTCTCTATAGCTTTACACAAAAAAGAGCTTCTCTCTCTCAACAGAGAAGAAGCCTACACAAAAAAGGGTTTCTCTCTCTCTCTTCCAACAGAGAAAAAGCTATGTTTCTGTACCATCCATTTCCAACAGAGAAGAAGCTCTCCACCTTGGTTTTCTTCTCTTCCTCTTCCCTGTGCCAAGGCTCTCCTCTTTGGTATTCCTTTTCTTCTTCTTCTTCTTCTTTTTTTTGCTTTATATTTATTTATTTATTTATTTTACTTTTCACGTTTCTGCCAGGCTTTCAATTTTCCGACGAGTTAGGAAATAGCTGATTTTTATATATCTTCTTGTTCTTCATTAGGCGGAGGGTTGGCGGTTATTACAACTTGGCTGAGGCCTCTGGTTTGATTTTTGAAAGGTATTTTGAGCTCGATTACCTCCTAGGGAGAGAAAACTCAGGTTCGGTAACGTTTCAAATCCGTAGGGTATTGGGCTTGTCAATCTATTACATGTCAAAGTAAGTGGAGTGAGAGAAGTGCAGTTCGAAGTGCTTTCAGGTATCGTGCCGAGAAGCTGGTTATTTGATAGTATCAGACCCTTCAAATTATACAAAGACCCAATGTTCGATGGAATCGGGCCTCTCAGATAATTGAACCTTAGAGAGACGTTTTTTCAGATTTGAGAGCTCGACGAGCGAGAAAGGTATCCTCCCTGTTAGGTTATTCGCGTGTGGTATCAGGAGCTCCAATACCCTATGAGCTCCCCATGTTGAGGAGGTATACTGCCACTAAGCTCATTCCTAGAACGCTCCAAATGAGTGAGGGATTTGCAGAGAGAGACTTCAATTGGAATAGGACCTGAGAGCTTGTTATCATACACAAGCAAGTTTTCTAATCGAGCCAATAGCCCGATTCATGGTTTATGAAAATTTTGATTTCTATGTTTGCTGTGGCTTCAGGGATAGAGTTTCAAAGAGCTAACAGATCTCCAACCTTTTTTTACTTCACCAATTTATTGCTTTAAAAGGAGTGCATTCAAATGTTATGATTTATAATGTCCAAATTTACATGTAAATAGTAATATTTATCTGCACAATGATCCTCTTATTTAAATTTATTTGTTTCTGTTTAGCCATTCAAATGTGACGCTTGGATTTCAGGTTTAATTTAGTGGTGGAGAAGTCCTAGGGACTCGTACTTTTGCACCATTTTGTCTGATTTTCAAGCAGAATGTAGTAGTTTGAAGGTAAACCAGTATAAATGTTTGTGCCATTAATATGCTAAATGATTTGCTTCATAGAAAATACGTTCCCGACGTTCGTTTTCCTTTGTCGATACTGGTCCATTGTAAGAAGGGAAAGTCCATTATTTTATTTAATGTGTGTTGTTGGATTCAATAGGAATTAGAATCAGCTTTTCTTTTGACGTGGAATTCCAGAAGATGTTCATTTTTTGGTTTTGTGCGTAATGATATGGAATGCTATCGACTTTGAAGTGAATGTCAATTGTGAATTTGAAGGACCAATTGCGTGCATATCATTTAATTTTAGTGAGCCATTTGGATATCACTTTGTTAGCAAGGTTAGTATGCGGAGAGGCTTATGTGCCCACTATAGAGTGGATATGCTTCTCATGGATGTTATATTTTTTAATACTTAGATATAACAGTTGGCACAAGCTTCAAGTTTAGATTTCAAAACCATGTTAGGAAAGATGATTGTCTCTCTTTGTGTATATCAAATCTCCCTAAAGTAGTCTTAAATATCAAGTGACACTTTTTTGAAGCAGTTTCATTATATCTATTAGGTTCGTTACCCATTGTTAACCATCTTAGATAAATCGATTAATAATATTTGTGATGAATTTTTTAGTATATTCGTTATGACTTATTTGTAGAATGGCTCTCAACAACCAATTCCCTCTAAAGATTTATAAACGCAAACCAAGATGTTGTCGGATGCATGTGTTAATAGCAAAGACACATGATAACTACAATAGGCATTTTTATAAATGCTCTAACTGGAAGGTATGTGATTTATTCGTTGATATATTATAGAAATATATTAGTATTCATTTGTAAGCATATATCTAACACACATTTATCTTATCATATTAATCACCAGAATGAGACTGGATGCGGCTATCTAGAGCGGTGTAATGAAATTCTAGGTGAAGATAGGAAATCTGTGGTTAAAAGGTTCATGTCTCAGAGGTCAGATGCTTGTGTTGCTGATGGAGTAGATGCATCTTCATATGAAAAAAGCGAAGTGCAAATCTGTTGCTATGGTCCATGAGAAAGTAGACCTTCAAAAAATTATTCTCATATGTATAATTTTATTTATGATATTGATGTTTGCTCTCCTATTTTTTGTAAAAAGAATTGGTATATGTTTTATGGTATCCATATATTTATAATTGTATATAATTATCGTTCTCTATCTTCTATGGAAGAACAATGTTCAATTTAGTTTATTCGTACATTAATGTTCAATTCAGATATTTTTAAATGGTTTGAATCTCTCTTTCATGCATCTGATATTCTTAAGTGGTTTGAATCTCTCTTTCAAGCATCAGATATTCTTAAGTGGTTTGAATCTCTCTCTCTCTCTCTCTCTCTCTCTCTCTCTCTCTCTCTCTCTCTCTCTCTCTCTCTC